GCTACAAGGAGTCAGAAGAAGAAGAGTGAGGCTGAACTGGAGAAAGCCTTAGAAGAAAGTAAAAGAAAAGTTGTTGCTAAGTGAAAGAAGAAGATGGTTGAGCCTGTTGAGGTTGTTAAAATTGATGAGATGAACCTGGTCCTTCGAAATGAAGATAAGACAGAAGAAGTGGATGTTCTAACTCCTAACGCTAAGAAATCCAAGACTTCCACAAAGAAGTCTGTTTCAATGTCAAAGTCAAAGTTCGTTGAACCATCCTCTTTGGCTAAAAGAACCAGGTCTGCAGTGAAATCAAGAAAGGTGAAAATGGTGGAGGAAGAAGAATGGAGTGGTGAAGAAAAAGAAGAATCTAATGTTGAGAAGGACAAGATGGTTAAGTTTGGGTAGAGAACCATTTTGAAAGGTAGGCTCCTCAGGGATTTGGAGGAGGAAGGAATGCTACTGCTGCTAGAGAAGTTATAGTTGTAAGGTTGGAAAGACATGGTCCTTCAATGGATGGACGGCTGGCCAGAACTAAGATTGTGGAGTTCATGGCTAACTATGAGATCAAAGATGGTAGGGTCACCAATGTGGTCAAGGGGGTGATAGTGACTTTTGATGATAAAGAACTGGGAGAAATGTTAGGTATACCTGTTGAAGGGTACAATGATTATAAGAAGCTTAAGTGCCCAAGTCTAAAGAATCTTCCTATTGCCCTTGCCAATACTAGGAAATTTGGTGACAGTGAAGAGGAACTTGAGCCCAAGGCTATTTACAAAAGTGTGATGAACCACCCCACAAGGTGTTGTTCGAATTTGTTAATAAATGTGTGTTGACAAGGCAGAAAATGAGGCACATTGCTACATTCGTGGACCTGGTCCTTATGGATTGTTTGGATAGTGGAAGGCGAATCAATTGGCCTGGATTTTCATCCAGCTTCTTGACATGGTTCTAAATGGCACCAAGACTCATGCCATACCTTATGGTTTTATTCTCACGGCAGTATTTGCATATTTCAAGGTACCCATCAAGAAATAGGAAGTTGGTACAAGTAAGGATTATTTTGGGGAAAACACTCTAACTACTTGTGATTATGAAGTTCAAACCATTTCCAAAGAACCTGGTTCATCCAAGAAGGTACCAGTGAACAACAAAGTGCGAGCTTTGGTGCAAGAAAGTGGGGCTAAGGATGCTGAAATTGATAGGCTGAAGAAGAGGTTGGCTGAAGTGGAGACTGAGAGAGATGCTCTCAGAGCTGAGCTAGCAAAAGAGAAGGAGAAGAATGATGACATTCTTCAGGATATGCTGAAATTGCTCCAAGTTAAAAATCAAGAACCTGGTCCTTCCCAGCCTTAAGCCTCCTAGCCTAGTGTAGATCAACCAGTGACCCAGTTCGAGATTTATTTTGTTTCTTTTGCTCATGATCCAGTGTTCTTATTTTTTTAATGCTTTGTGGTAGGATCTTATCAATCAATGAAATTCACTACCTTTTGCTCTAACTATTTGTTGATATTTCTTAGATGGCTAATATCTTTAGATTGATAGATGATGCTTAAATCCATGATTGCATTTGAAGTAGCCCTAGTGTCCATGAGTAATTTCTATTAAAATTTGGTTATCTCACATAATTATGTAACTTTTCGATAATGCCAAAAGAGGGAATAAGGTTGTGCTTTTACTTTGGAATGTGATGTTTATAACCTAATGAACCTGGTCCTTGATGATTAGTGACTTTAGAAAGAAAAAATGTTCTAACTTTTTTTTGATGTTGAGCTAATTTGAAACAGGGCCTCGCTTATGAAAAGCAAAGAGTTTGTCATCATCAAAAAGGGGGAATTTGTTGGCCCAAGTGAAGTTGGTTTTGAAGATTGACAAAGGAACTCAAGCAAGAATCAGGACGATCCACAATGTACACATACACGAGCGAAATTAAGCATAAGGGATGAACGTGAGTGAGATAAGCTTAACTTGTTATATCTAATATTTCTTGATCGAAAAGGTTGCATAATTGATAAGGAGAAGGACTCCTTACTCAAAGAGAACACTATCCAAGATAAGGAAGGAGTTAGAAGTTGAAGTTAACTAGAACTCTTCCACCAAGGAAGAGTAGTACTAGAACTCTAGTTATTTTCTATTTTACTACCTCTATAAATCGAAGGATGTTCTCACATTACAGGCACGCACAAAAGCTGAAGTTAAACGTGAGTTGAGAGCAAAATAGCAAGGCATTTTGCAAGCAATTCTTGTGTGATTCAAGTGTGCGAACATGAAGCTACATGAACCAGATAGAAGAACCAGCTCCAAGTGTATGTCTTTTATTCTAGTTCAATTGTAATAGGTGTTTTTATATTGTATCTTTGATCAACTTTATCTAGAAGCAATTGTAATAGGTACTTTGATTATTCAAGTTAGAGTTAACTTGAAGTTGTCGCAATAGTTAGAGGCTGGTTGCCACAACGGGATTAGAGGTAATCTTTAGGTTTACAAAGAGTCTTTGTAAATGCTATTTTGGCTTATTGATTTAGTGAAGTGTTGAGGAAAATCCTACTGAGTAGTAGGTCGTGGGTTTTTCACCTTTTGAGCCGGGTGTTTCCCACGTAAAAACACTTGTGTTATTTACTTTCTGCATTTATTATTTTTGCAACAGTAGGTTAAGGAACACATAGAAGAACCAGGTCCTTCTATAATCTATGCACGCGAAAATTGAACACCACACAAATCATTCCCCCCTCCTCTTGTGTGGCATTGAAGTATAAAACATCAGCTTTTAACTAAATCAGCTACAAAATGGCCAGCGATGATATAATTGCAATTATTACTTATTTTATATATTAAATGATATTTGAAATACAAAAATAACGGTATAATGGAGGGAATTAAACCTCCAAAATCTCTCTCTCTCTCTCTCTCTCTCACACACACACACACACATAAATACATACATACATACATATATATATGTATATATATATACACATACACACTAAACCAGATAGAAGAACCAGTTCCAAGTGTCTGTCTTCTATTCTAGTTCAATTATAGTAGATGTTTTCATATTGTACCTTTCAGTTTTATCTAGAAGCAATTGTAATATGTACGTTGAGTATTCAAGTTAGAGTTAACTTGAAGTTGTCGCAAAAGTTAGAGGTTGGTTGCCACAACGGGATTAGAGGTAATCTTTAGGTTTACAAATAGTCTTTGTAAATGTTGTTTCGGCTCATTGATTTAGTGAAGTATTGAGGAAAATCTTACTAAGTAGTAGATCATTTTTTCACCTTTTGAGCCGGGTATTTTCTACGTTAAAATACTTGTGTTCTTTACTTTCTGCATTTATTATTTCCGCAACAGTAGGTTAAGGAACACATAGAAGAACTAGGTCTTTCTATAATCTTTGCACGCGAAAATTGGACACCACACAAATCACTCCCCCACCCCCTCCCCCTTCCCTCTTGTGTGGCAGTGAAGTATAAAACATCATATTTTAACTAAATCCGTTAAAATGGCACGTGATGATATAATTGCAACTATTACTTATTTTATATACTAAACGATATTTGAAATATAAGAATAACGATATAATGGAGGGAACTGAACCTCCAAAATCACACACACATATATATACATACATACATATATATATATACACACTTTTCTTTGTTTCTTATTTATTTTATAACTATATATGTAAACATGTAGAAGTTTCTATGAAATGTATTTACAACGAACGAGGTATTGTGGCTTAATACATCTCGAAGTTTGTTTTCTACTTCATTAGACACTAAATAATACTAAATTAAAGATGTAAACAAAAAAGTAACAGGTCATCAAATTTTCACAACTATTAGTTTACTGGTGAATTCAACTTTATGAGGTTATTTATAGCATGCTATATAGGTAGCCTCAAAATCAAAATGATATATTTTGTGAAAAAGATCCGTGCATGAAGAATGATCGATGTAAGATTTCATCTGTTTTGATGTAAGCTTTCATCTATTTTAATTAATTTTGTTGCTGGATTTTAGATTTCATTAACCAAAAAATGAAAGCTTGTGCTCATCAGCTCATTTATTGAATTGTTCAACTGGAATGCTGGAAATTGACAAAAACCTGAACGTTATGCCTATGGTATTGGAATTTGGAAACAATTTTCGAGGTTCATTAGATGATTAAGTGATAAATGTTAATTATTTAATCATAAAAATATTTGTCTAAACTACATTTTGTATTCCCTTAAATGTCTAACTTTTTCTTTTATTCAAAATTTCTAACTTAATTAACATTCTAATTAAAAGGTGTACTTGAAAAAAAGAAGAAGTTATAAATGATTTACTTTGTTTTTATGAAGTATCAAACATTTAAATAGATGTTCTGCTATTTAAGGTTTGTTGCATGTCTTATTATTAAATAATACAATAGGCCAAATTCAGTAAACTTGTGCAAACCGCGAAAACATGCGTAGACCTGCAACCGCACCGCATCAGCCTTTTAAAAAATTATTTCAACCCGCCCTGCATAGATTTAAACCTGCCCCTCCCCGCATAGCTTTAAACCCGCACCACCCCATTTGCCATTCCTACATAGGAGTTGGTTTTTTAATCACCCATCAGGGCCGTCACATCAGTTTTCTTCCTTCCTAGTAAATATTGGTGAACCTAGCTGCATAAAATATACTGTAGTATAACAGGTGTGATGTTTACTCTTTCATTACAAAAACTCATTTTTCTTCTTTAAGGGAACAAAATCTCGTTACCTACAATATTTGTGAATGAGATAGATCGACGAGGCATACCTTTGGACTTCTACATTACGATAAGCCTGAAGCAAAAGAACGAAGTCAATATATACTATTTGCCAGGGAAAAGTGATATACTATTTGCTAAAATCGTTTCAGCCTGATAGTATAAAAGCTAGTAGACTCCATTTATTTCCTTTTCTTTTGCCCTCATGTTATTCCCTTATAGTATATCTCTAACATACTTTGCTAGGATTTTATTTTCCAAAAGGAAATGTGGGCTATACAATGACCAAAACCTTGGCAATATTATACCAAGATAAGAAGCTCTGAACTATGTTGTTACATCAGTCACAACTTTGTCTGGAAAATCCACCCAACTGGGAGTACAAAGTTAAATTGAAAACCATAACAATATCGAAACTCAAGCATTCATCAGGGGTATGTTTATCAGTTATTTCGTATTTACTATACACGCTAACATATTTAGCAACATGGTATTCACACGGACTTCAAATTCATCTGTTTCGGTTTTATAATCCCCTATTACTGCTGGTTTCACCCTCGACTGTAACTTCTTGAGCAAAGATCAGGTAGTCTCATCAAAAGCCATCACCTAGAAATCAAAAAGAAGGACAACTTGTAAATTAACAAAATGCCTAGTGAAACAAAGTTTGCATACACATAATATCTATTTGATTGAAATTGACACTTCACATAACTACAAAACTAAAGGATCTTAGAACTTGAATTAGTGATCTATCGGGTCTACTAGAAAAGGCAACATATTGGAATTTTAATTCTTCTGATATAAAAACCTTATCTACATCTTACATATTTTCTGAAAAGTAAAGCAAACATGAAACCTAAAAAAGGACAACGAGCTTGTTATTTCCACTGAAATCACCAATTGCATAGCAAAATAATAACTATATGATTTGTTTTTAAATTTATCCTTTCTCAAGAAAATAATAACTGCACGACACGCTAAATGGGCCTGAATCAAGATGGTCTCCTGAATTTCAAAACTGACTCCCTTTTCCTTTTTGTTTCCATTTTCCTGTGTTTTCTGTTGCTCCTTTTCTATCTAATTCTTTTATTCTTTTCTTTCATCCAAGCTCATCATAATTGACTAGTTAACAAAGGGATTTGCTTTGTAAACTTGTCACCCAAACGGTGCAGAACTAAACAGATCCATGATTCCTGTGCTTCAGTCCAATTGCTACACAGCCTGCTATTAGCATTTAGCTCACAAGTAACAGCTTTGATCAAATACCAGTCTACTAGAATGAAATTGATAACCCTAACTTCTACTGCCAAGGCTATAACATGAATTATTGAGTTCTGATATGCATATTTGGTGCACCTCGGCAAAAATGAACCTTCTGACATTTGTGAGTCGGGGATAACCAATTGCAGAGAAAGGGCGGCGAAGCCCTAGCAGAACAGGGCACAAGGAAAAAAATGAGGAACTTGGAAGACAAGCAGCCAGAATAAGCAATAGCAAGGAATGAGTTATACCTATACTCTTGTCATATTGGCGGTATAATAGAAACATTAGAATCAATTGAAGTATTTGGTGTATAGAAGAACCATTGATTTTTCAAATTCTTTTTTTTGGGGGGGTTAACAGAACTGAAAGAGTCCCGAGGCATATCTTTTATATTGCATGAACAAGAAAACAAATTTTGGGCCCTTTACATGGTCCTCTTCAAATTTACTAACAAGATTTCTTTTATCCTTTCTCTATATTAGTGGTGACAAACAAAATTCAGTACCACTTATCCGTCAGGCAAAACTCTGATATAAGCTAAGAGATAGAAAATCAACTAGATTTACCAACCTTTTTCATGAATCTCATCATAGCCTTTTTAACAAATCTATTAACATCAACACAGTTCGAAACTTCCAATCACTTTCAATCCATATGCCATCACAAAATTTCCCTGGGCACACTGCCATATGCATTGTCAATAACAGCCCTACAGAATCAAAGAACACTGCGCAGGAGGGACCGCTTGGCTAAAGCCAATCCCAGGTCAGGGTCCTTGGACAGCAGTCTGGTGAAGTTTGACTTAAAAATGCCTTAGTGGTCCCAACAAACTCTGATTTCTTATTTTGAGCATGCAAGTTTTTGGGCCCAACCCAAGCCATTGACTAATTTGCCTAGCTCAAGCATATGCCAAGTGTTTGCACCAATAGGCTAGGTAAAATACCAGACTAGTTGCCATTTTCATCATTACTTTGATTGAATACCTGAATCTACCATAAAATTTTGTTAGTCAACTTCACCGATAGATAATATCTGAGACACAGTCGACCCTTAATGGAATTGCATAAGACTTGGGAGCTTCTCATCTTCTCAACTACCTTGTCATCTTCAGGCTCAACACGTTCATTTCAAAGGAAGTACTTATTAGGGCTTTCTCACTATGCTTTTAATCAAACAATATCCAAAAGAAAAGTTGCATCTCCAAATGTTTACTAAACCATGTTTACTAAAACCTAAGATACTGTTACTGTTAATCATCATTTTCTTCTCGCTCTGGGTATTGTGGCATTGTTCTTCACCGTCTGGTCAACTTTCTTAAGAGACCAATTACCCAAACTAAAAAATATACTTAAAATAGCCACAAGCCGTGGGCTTCCAAATGTTTAACCGCATAGCAAGCCACTAGAATTTGCCAATTTGGCACCATAATTGCCAGCACTTAAAGAGAGTAAGAGACCCCTGGGGTTGTTACCCAATCTAGTAGCAGAGCTACACGAAGTCTCTTTAAAAATAGGAGAATATTTGAAACAAACATGAACATGATATGTAAGGAATGTGTAGGTTGTATCATTATAACTTTAAAATAAACCTTTCCTAGAGATTTCCCAATAAACTCCATCTTTATGACACAAAAAACCTCGGTATTGCATATAAAGCAGTATTTTGCAGGGAGAGCTAAGTTTACACAGTTGGGTATAAATTAGCAAATAGAGAAAAAGGTAGCCAGATAAATAAGCAACAAGCTAGTCCTCCTTGTCAAAACAAGCTAATGATGACAGGATTAATGCTAACTATATCCCGTGCAAGTAATGGTAATGAGTTGGCCCATGAATCATTAGTTTTTCCAATAGAATCAAGAAAGAAATCTGAAGAATGTCAGCTAACGCCTTTTGTGCCTATTAATGCACCTTGCACCAAGAAGATAATCTTTGACAAACAGAAGAGAGTGGCTGGGAATAAGAACTGGGTAATACATGAAAAAGAATCATAAACTGATAAAAACGAGGGAGACATAGAGTTTTCTCACACCCCTCCGCTTGTTCTCCCATTCCTAGTTCTCAATTTTTCAACAAAAGGAAAGAAAAAGAATTTTCTTTTAGCTGTTTCTATTTAACCTGTACGAATATATTAGAGTCTTTACACCACGAAAATTCCAGGAACTGTCTCCTTATCATGGATCCACATTTTATAGAGCGGAAGTGTAGGGAGGATCGGTGCAGCTTCAAGAAGGGATTTGAGTCTATGTAGTTAGTTATAACGGCTATATCTTGGAATTAATTGATTGCCACTAAGACAGAGAGGCCAATATAGAAAATTAAAAACATGCAGACATTTCCCTCAGAAAGCCTGGGAAATCTTTGTAGCATAGCAGAATATACAGGATAAGCTCAACCATTACACCAAATCAAGCATCATAAAAAGAAAGAGATGGCACATAAAAAGTAAACGAAATCACAATTACCTTGCCACAAACTGGACAGCTGTCACTTCTTTCCATCCACTCATATATACAACTCAGGTGGAAATGGTGAGAGCATTTTGTCATTATTTTTGGGTTTTCGTCGGTGTATTCTGAAAGAGACACATGAAAGTAATTATTCAAAAAATCCCCTGAACTATGCTAAACAATGCCCAGAAACCATTCAATGTATGCCAAAAGTACGTGAACGATATACTGCCCCAAAACAATTTCATTAAACACTGTTGTTCATCAGTAAAAAGACTTTTTACAAGACTATTTGTAGAGGGCATGCATAGACGACTTTTGTTACATCCGATGAGGTAGAGCAGAAAGCTCCAAAAAATTTACCTTCAAGACATGTCGGACAGACATCTTCATCTTCTGAATAATAATAAATATGAGCATCTCCGGAAGTCATTTTAGCTGTTGAGAATTCCACAGAAGATTTGTTGTATTCTTTTGATCCTTCTTCAAATGTAGGTTGACTCCATTTATTTACATCACTTAATGATTCGGAATCGTCAAAGCTTCTTTGTAGTGGTTCAGTTTCCTCATGTGAGTGGCTTGAGCCTTTCTCCCTTCTCGAGACTTGTCTGTCTTGTTGCAAGCGGAAATATCTTGGATCAGCATCATAAGGCAGTGGTCTCGGAGGAGAACGGTAAACGTCAGACAGTGAGTCATCAAGAGATGTTGTAGAACTCAAAGATGCAGCACCTTGATCAGATGAAGGAATGATATGTTGTTCTCCTCTATGGAAAAGTGATGTATACTGAAGGATAAGAAAATGAAAATATGTAAATTCTATGGCAAATAAACGAGAGCAATTATCATCACCACCAATTCAGTGAATGAAAAGGTCTTGATATGAAGCTATGATGATCTAAATACAAGACTATACCCAAAGATAATGTTTTGTGATAAATATACCTAAACAGATTATGCAGATAAGTTCAGCTGCCGGATACTCTCAAAAGATTTCATACTATTTCGTTCCTTATGTTCCATGTGTAAAATGCTTTGGATGGTGAGCCTTATTGAAATAGTAAAGTTGTTTCATCATCTCATTAGTTAAAGACTCAAAAGGAAAATGACTAGAAAGGTAGTATCCATTGAATATGACTGGTGTAAGCAGCAGTCGTGTGTTTTAAAAGAAGGAATTATATGGTGATTATACGACAATGTTGTCGAAAAGCATACCACATGCAAGAAGTTCTGAACTAGAGTTCCAAGGCATATACAGTTCCTATACGTTGAGCTGTTTGGATTGGCAAAATCTTCACAATCGTCTCGTAAGCAGCAACAAACTGCGCCCATGATACCGTCTTAAACCTATGTTGGTACCACAAAAACCTTTTCAAGTGTCATTGACAATCCCAAAAGTGTCACGATATCCTGATTGTGGAAGCAAAACTTGTGGCGACTGGAGCTTAGAGTAACTAAATAAAACTGAGGAACGACCTTCAGCGAGCAAATGAAGAAGCAAGGCAATTGGGCACCCGCTCTCTTCAGGAAACCCCCGAATGAGTGAATGCCCTTTCTGATCAAGGCCTTAAGAAAAAATAAGCGGTGTGTTCGATTCCTGTAACAGTGAAGACAGTTAAACTATCAGAAACTAAGATATATATACACACGAATACTTCAAAACTTACAGCTCTTGATGATGTATACCTTAATTCCTAACAACTCTTAGCGTCTATATGAATCCTCAATATTCATTCAACTCCATTTGGACCCTTTTAATTCCAATACTCAAGAATGCCAAATACAGTAGTTAAATTTAGTTTAAGCAATCATGAAACTCAGCGAAATAGTTTAGTTCTTTGGTGGGTGGGGGTGGGGTGGGGTGGGGGGTGGGGTAATCAAGCCACTGAACTGTTTGAGAACATAAAACAATAGATACTATAGGAGAATGGCAAAAAGCAGATACAATTTCTAAAACTTCAAACATTTCCAGGGATTAGAAAACTTTTTTGTTCCTCTCCTAATTCTCTTTAATGGGAATTAATTCATCAATAGAACCTCAGTAGAAAAGCAAACACAAATGATCAGCTGAAGAAGCTCAATGGTCACAATTATAAGGCAAACAGGAAACCAAGAATTGGGTAATTATAAATTCAGATTAATCAATTCTTAAGTCAAAGAATTTTTTTTAACGCAGATACATATGGTTATCGACCAATTCAGACAATACCCAATTGAGGTCACGAGATTAAAGAAGTAATCAAGGACGGAGAAAAGAAAAGCACACCTCTAAATTATGGAGNATTTCCAGGGATTAGAAAACTTTTTTGTTCCTCTCCTAATTCTCTTTAATGGGAATTAATTCATTAATAGAACCTCAGTAGAAAAGCAAACATAAATGATCAGCTGAAGAAGCTCAATGGACACAATTATAAGGCAAACAAGAAACCAAGAATTGGGTAATTATAATTTCAGATTAATTAATTCTCAAGTCAAAGAAAAGAATGTTAACGCAGATACATATGGTTATCGACCAATTCAGACAATACCCACTTGAGGTCACAAGATTAAAGAAGTAATCAAGGATGGAGAAAAGAAAACACACCTCTAAATTATGGAGACAGAAAAAGGGAGAGAAAAAACGATAGATNCGATAGAATGGATGATTGTATTGAATTCCAGAAAAGACAGAAGCCAAGAAAGAATTCTTGAAATTGGAGGTTCGATGCTTTTGGATTTTGTATTACAAGGCACGATGTTGAATTTTCGCCAATATAGGAACGGATACGCGTCAATAGAGACTGCCTCAAAAGCCTTTGGGCTTCTCTCTTTTTTCTTTTTCGTTTTTCTAAAGCAAATGATACTACTCCGCATTCAACTCAGTTTGCTTCACTAATCTACGGATCAGTACTGGCATCGAATAAATGTGGGAGAAATTAAAAAATAGGCAGATTTATACGTAGTCTTTTAAAAATAGCTCAGTTTTAAAAGTAATCGAAATTTAGCCATTTTTCATGTAAAGATAAATTTGAGCAAAAATACTATTCAAAACCCGGAAAATATGCCAGTATATTATGCTGGAGTTCCAGCATAAGTATACTTGAATTCCAGCATATTATACCGGAGTTCCAGGATAAGTATGTTGGAACTCCAGCATAATATGATGGAGTTCCAGCATAAATATTTTGTTGTTTGGTTTGACTGTATCATACTGTACTACAACTGATAAGTTTACTAAAATACCCTCAATTGTTTAAATATTAAATTTATCAAGAATCACGCATAAAAATTATTTACAAAATTCCTATTTACTAATTTATACCACACGCTTAGCAGGAGCTTAGTGCATCGGGCTGCCCTTTGACCTTTGTACTAATTTATCACCAAATATATCTTTAATATATCACCAAATATATCTTTACTATCATTAGAAAAAAACTATGATAAAGAAAGGAGCGAGAATTGGCAGAACAAAGGAACAAAGGATTAGAGTTAAAGTAATTAGAATTCGAGTTAAAATCACATTAGGAGAAAAAACGGAACAAAAAGAAGGCAAAACCTATACCTTTTACATTGGATTTGGAAGAGGTAGAAGTTTTGGAAAAAAAAAAGAATAAAACAAAGTAGATTATAGGTTGAGGATTTGGAGTTAAAAAAAAAGAAGATAAAGGATAAAATAGAAATGTGGAGTAATAAATTAGGACATAATTGGAAAGAAAAATAGAAAACAATACCACCATACCAAATTGGTTGTTTCAAAAAATGGAACTTTTCATTATTCCGGAACAATAGATTTAACAATACAATACAATCAATTTTAATGAAATAATCAAAACAAACATTATTTTGGGATAATAATACAATACAATACATTGGGTAACAACCATTCAAACAAGCTGTAACACATGCATTTTTTTCTTTATTACAATTTGAACTTTGATTTCACGGTCTATACATTTGTTTACCCTTTATATCAACACATGATGGTATTGCTCAAACAAAGAAAAGAATCAAACTAAATGAAGCAAGTACAGATGTAGTTAAGGATTTATGGATTCATCCAAACTCAATGGTCAAACTTTGTATATGTATTTAGAAAATTCACTTAATAAATATAAATAATAAAGTTTGAATGCCAATATATCAAATAATTTGTGGTTAAATTTTGAACTCAAATCTATAATATTTAAATTTTGGATCGCCTGTGAAACAAAGATGTTTTGTTGATTCATTAATGGATACTGGGAGGAGTAGATTGATAAGAGAGAATGTGGAGAATGCTCGTTCGCTACCAAAGCCAGCTATGTATATTGAACAACTATGGTGCATCATAGCGTGGCTGATTGCTTTTTTAATCTGATCATATGGCCACATATTTAATTAGGTGCTAGGCTACTCTCAATTCTTTGGTGGGTGAGATGAATAGAATATATATGGATTAGCTCATAGTATTTTAAAGTTCAAGTTTATCTAATTAATTTGCTACTCAAGCCATGGTCTCCTACTGTCATTAGTCAGTAAGTTTTGATATTTGAAATTTCTTGGTCGGTCTTTGTCTTTTTTTTCCGGGAGATGGACAGGAATAGCCCCGCAAGGGGCTGGTCTTAGCTGAATGTCCCTAAAATTGGTGGTATTTAAAAAAATAGCGTCCGAATTGGCACACGGCTCTTCATGGGGTTTCTCTGTCGGATTTAAATTATTCATCGCAGTCTACCTGATTATCATACATTTGCTCTTCACGATTTCCCTGCCGAATTGGTAGAATTGATGCTCTTATTACTTTACCTACTGTTATGTTTCATCAAAATCTACTTGATTGTAATATTTTTGCTCTTCAGGAATTTCTCTACCGAATTGGTATAGAGTTGATGCTATATTTACTCTAGTTATCTATTAATTTGTTCTTCGAAGTTTACCCGATTAACATTTTTTTGGTTTGTCTTAGCAAAGTATTCTTCGAATTTGCAACCTCAATTTCGATCAAACCATCCCAGATCTGTTTCAAATGATCACAAATTTCAAAGAAAACTTTCAAATGCCAACACAAATAATCACCAATCACCAATTTAGTCAAATTATGCCAAAAAAAAGACTCAATTTATCTTCTTCAATACTTTCTAAGGTCCAATACACGAGTTTTAATATTTTTACAGTAAATTATCAAAATCTATGTTTGAACCAAAAATTTAAGTATAGATTATCAACATTCAAAACTATTGTAATAATAATCGATCACTAACTTTTATTTTTCACCCGCAAACAAGATTCAAACTCTAAAAAAATAAAAAATTATGGTGTTCACGTCAAAAGCGGGGAGATTTTACTAAGACCAGTCAAAACAAGGATAATCCATCAAGACCAGTCCCTTTAAGGGACATGCGTGCAAATTTTCAATTTTTCCTTTTGGTTTACATTGGGCTCCTTGATGAGGAAAAAACAATGAAGAATTAACTTAGCCTCTCAATGAACCACTAAAACTAAAAATAGGCGGTATATGTATGATATATGTATAATCCATATATAATATGTGTATAATTGTTTGTGTATGTATAATTCACACACACATATATAAAATAGTATATATATACACATACACACATACACATACATACACATATACATAGGCTAAAAAAGTTAACAGTGAATCCATCCGGCTATTTGGGTAAAGATCCCAAAAACAATGGGGCTCCGTCGTTGGGCCAAACGAAATTCTAGACTCTAATGCTAGGACTTGAAAATTTGTTTTGTATTAATCACGAGTTATTATTTTGTCAAGGTTGATAGTAGATTTACTACAAAATTTAAGATTTTAATGTCATCTTTCAAACGTTACTTTATACTTGTGTACGAGTAAAATCGGGAGCAAAGTTTTTCCCGATTCCCCTGTAAGGAAACAAGAGGTAAGCATGAATCGACGCGACTACAAGCAAGGCCGAAGGACCCCTTGTATCGGAACCTGGGAGGAGTAGACGATGTATCTGGGATCGGGCACGGTAAAATAATGGACCCAGACCAAGTAAAGTTTCTAGACCACGAAAAATGTGGGGAACAGTTATGCATGACAAGTAGGGAGCCGTAATATTCGTCCTCAACCAGATATTATGGAGGGAATCCCGTCCGATATCAACTACGAATCGATATTTATCGAAAGAATTTTTTTTTTACCTTATTTAGACTTGTAATTAGGACTGAAATTCTCCTATTATATAAAGAAAAAAGTTTTTTTTTATTTGGACACATTGTTAATACGCAAATCAAAGCAATAAAAGTTCATTTGTATCTTCTAGCTTTTATTCAAAGTGTTCTTTAGTTATTCTCTTCTTCACTCATAACCGAGCTTATATCGAGGGTCTGATCGAGGTCGAATTTCACTATTCAATCTAAGATCAGGCTTGATAATCATATTACAATTGGTTTGATTTTTCATTTTATCTTTAATTTAATTACCTGTGGTCCTTAGAGCATTCGTATTGAATTAAATCATATATCCTTTAAACTGCGTATAAATTTAATTGTTACTCATTTTTTAAGGGTAAACAATTTGACATCCACCGCATGGGAAAAAGATAGTAGTGGTGACTTGATATAAATCTCCATAACACACCCAATATTACGATTGTTCTTTGAAGTTTTGATTCTATGTTAGTCCAAGGATGTCAAATTCTCGGTCTGCCCACTTGAACATTGACGCTGAGTTAGGACACCACGACAAAAACAATAACGTGATACCTAGCAATGATGTGCCCCCTGTTGATCCCAATTGTGCCCCAACCGCCGACCCGATCAATGCTAACTCACAGGTTGCCATCAACATCAATCAGCAAACTGACATGAAAACGGCATTCGCGGGGCACCTCGACCATCAACTCGAGAAGCACCCGAAAGCCAAGGTGATGGTGTGAGCCTGCGGCTAATATTCGAGATGTTGCAAGCTAAGAAAACAGTAATAGCACAGTTACACAACCAGAGTCACGCCCCTAACAGGGTCGAGCCTGAACAGACCATGAAAAATACTCTAAGGGATGAACAAGTTGCCGTGGAACTGGGGGAATTCGGGCCCGGGGAAACTTCCGTGGTAATGAAGATGATCGAAGCATTGAGAAAATGGGTGGAGTCAGCCGAGAAAAGTTAGGGGCAACTGACAGGAAGGTGGAAACTTATAACTCCAGGGTTGATCAGATCTCTGGAGCACCGCCGATATTGAAGGACCGGACTCCAAAATGTTCATTCAGAAGCCCTTACACCCGAGCGCGATACTGAAGCTGATACCGGTGAGGTTTCGAGTGCCCAACACCCCAAGTATAATGGGACCATAGATCCAAATGAGAATGTAACCTCCTATATATGTGCAATCAAAGGGAATGACTTGGAAGACAATGAAATTGAATTGGTGTTGCTGAAAATATTTGGAGAAACCTTGTCTAAGGGAGCAATGATATAGTATCACAACTTGCTTCCAAATTCTATTGACTCATTTTCTATGCTTTCAGATGATTTTATAAAGGCCCATGCCGGCTCCATCAAGGACGAGACGAGGAAGTCATTCCTTTTCAAGGTCAAACAGCTGGATAACGAGATGCTTAGGGAGTTTGTGTCGAGGTTCTAGATGGAACAGATGGATCTGCCTCGATCCTGGATAATTGGTTCGTTCGGGCATTTACTCAAGGGCTCAACCCTCGAACTTCCGTGGCTTCTCCGCAACTAAAACAAAACTTGGTAGAGTACCCAGTGGTCACTTGGGCCGACGTCCAGAACATGTATCAATCGAAGATCAGAGTTGGGGACGACCAACTCGGGGCCCCTTCGGGGTATGTTTACCCCATCAAAACCGATGACATGTCTAAGAGAATCATCAATCAGGAGTCA